ACCAGCCTCGCCGTTCCCAACTCGCTTCCAACACCTGGTTACTAGGGTAACTGTACTGATCTCCGGTCTGCCTACCCACGTTGTGATTAGATCTTAGACAGACGGGATCAAACAGGGATTGGGGCCGTATGCCAGCTGGGTTCAACAGGGGTGGCAAAACACAAGCAAAAAAAAAAAAAAACTCACGAGGCAAAAATTACTGATAAAAAAGGGTAACAACCTTTTATATCTAATGTTCGTTACATAAAAATTATTCTTACTTCCCGACCCGTTTTGTGGACTGTGGCACCAAGCTTCTATCATACAATTTAAAGACTTCGAGTTGCCTACTCTCTTAGAATTTTGTATGTCGGAGTGTGGTTTGGTTTCGACACTGGGCGCTAATCTCTACCAGTCGTTCACGGCTGATTCTTCTCTTCGGCTTGAGTTGGACGAGCTTATTCGCTTCGGCTTTCTTGGACGTATTTCTTCACTTCGATTTGGGTTGGACGAATTTCCACCCTCAGGCTTGGCCTGGTTTCAACTTCTTCTAGACGCAACTGCCTTAACTTCTTCTTCTTCCGTCCTGCAACTCTTCTCGCCAAGGTCCGAACTCTTCTCTCTGCCGTCTGGGGCGATCTCTTCTCTCTGCCTTCCGGGGCTGAACTGATTTCTGTCGATTGGGGTTCTGCTTTTATTGACGCCGCAACAAACTGGGGTGGGTCTGTCGGCGTCAGGGTTTCTTGATAATTCCAAAAGTCGCATTATTTCTGATTTCCCATTATCGCTCTTATTTTCACCCCTACTTCCTCACAGTGCCTCTGGCGGGGGGAGGCGCATACCCATCTCTCCCGGTCTCTCGTATGTCAATTGACCGTTTTCGGGTCCTGGTCGAGCGTCCTTTCTCCTCTTTCTCGCATATCACGTGACCGCTTTCGGCTAATGAGATTCTGGTTGGGCGTCTCCCGTCCTTCGTGACGTCTCCAATCGGGCGTGGTCTATCCCGGCTTTGTTCTGGGAAAGAAAACACCTTGCTAAAAAAAAAAATCCAATTTGGCCTTTTTTTTTTTTTCGAAAATGACAATCTCAGCCTTTCTCACCTTTTGGTTTTGTCAAAACAGCCCGCCGCTAATTAGATGTGACTTCAGGAAGAATTTTTTCCGTCTCGCTGGCGCTTTCTGTGAGCCAAAACAATTGTTTTCATTCCTTTATTTTCGTTCAGGCCTGACAGTTAAAATCTTAATTATCTGAATTGAAAATATCCTTCACTTCATCATCGTGGGGTTCTAATCTTCAACAGGTCAGGATCTGTATACAATTCCAGCGGTCACCTTCTCATTCCAAAGACACCCCTTTCTGATTAATATTTCGTTTTCCATTGTTCTAAAAAAATCCCATTTCTCCAAATTGATAATGAGCTTCTACATTCCGTGGACACAAAAAGTAGGCCAGATGTTTTGACCGATATTTTTTATCAATCGTACGTATGTTCATCCACTTTTACCATGTCTGTTTTTTTTTTATTTCTTTCATTATCTCTAAACTTATTCTTAATAATAACAATTTCCATTGTTCTTGAAATTCGGTCAGGCGCGTTGGCCTAGATATCTCTTGACACCTGTTTTCGCTTATGACCGGCTTTTCTATTTCTCCTCCTCTCTTTTTTTTTCTTCTTTTTCCTTCCTTTAGGATCGCCTAAATACAATTAGAGAAATATTCTCAAAACTTAATTATTCTTCGTCTAAAAAAACTAACAACTGGTTAATAAACCGAATAAAAATTAAATCATATTTCTATGAATATTTCTTTTTAGTTTTTCTAATAATGCAGGGTGCCACACACATATATATATATATATATATATATATATATATATATATATATATATACATATATATATATATATATATATTTGCTAATATATTGTTTTTTCTTTTCTTTTAGATTTTCATCTAACTTATACCATATAGGCATATTAATAAAGATGCCGTGAAATTAATCTTACTAGTTTTATCACTCATTCCTCTTTTAACGTTTTTACCATTTCCTTTTAATATTTTATCACAAGAAAGGTGCTATATGCCACGCGGAATCATGGGGTTAGTGAGAGGGAAAAGATAATAAAAAGAAAATAATTCAAGTACACAGATGATGAGAGACATTACATTAAAAAGTTTTGAAAATCGTACTTGACAGGAAAGCAGCAAGTCAGTAAACAAGCCCTAAGCGAGAGGTGCGAGCGAAGAAAGTATTAGCCTAAAACTATCGATTCCAACACGGAAATTATGAAACCTAGCAGCCAATCTAGGACTGCGCTTAAATTCGGGGAGTCGCTGTACGAACGTGAAAAGCCCACCAGAACAATTACTATGAAAATATACATAAAGAAGTAGACGGAAGTTACGTTCTGGAGGTGGGAAAGTGACTGAAGCCGAAATGCCAAGTTAGGTCTGTTTACATTGCAGATGCATATGGTTTCCTCTAGCCAGTTCAGTTGTAAATTGATGAGTCCTTGTTGCTTATCTAGTGCTGTGTGTAATTTCCTTATGTCTTGTTATCAAAGAGAAAAGTTCATCAGAGCAATTACCATGTATATATTTATTTAAAAGGTTCAGCTTGTCATCAAATGCGTTCAGAAAAATCTAAACTATTTCCTCTATGCCAAAAATCGCTTCGAGTTAATAATGACTGAAGGTTTTAGCAGAGTATTCTTCTTTGAATGTTGGGGACTGGCGCTACAGAATCACACTCAAATATATGTGCCAAATAACAGAAACCACATCACTTGTGTATTGAACAACACAAACAATTAAAATGAATGGCACATGTAACTAGATGGGAAAATGATGATATAATCGTTTGACATTATATCCTACTTCTAATAAGTGGTTAGGAAGAAAGTTATCATCAATACTTGAAATAGCATCAACAGTTACTGGACTTAAGACATTTATTTTCCTGCAAAATTGTTTCTAGAAGGAGATTTTGTAAATTTTAAGTCGAACAAAACACTGACTGCTCGCTCATAAGGAAAGTGCATTTCGATTACTGCTATGTTTTTGGAAAGAAAAGTGTAAGAAAAAATTAAGATCGTTGTGTACGAAGATAACGTAATTTCACCTTTAATCCCCGGGAATATGACATGGAATCTGTATAGCCACAACATTAAGAAACTTGACTAATTCGATCACTAAAGTCTAACTACCAAACAGGAAAGTTCGTCAGATCAATTACTGTGAACATATTTATAGAACATTCAGAGGGAAGCTACGTTACGACGATCAGAAAATTACTGAAGCCGAGATACCAGGTCAGGAACGATAATATTGCAGATTCTATTTTGTATTTTATCTAGAATATCTAAGAACATAGCAGAAGCAACGGACAAGATGGGACAGCAATATACAATGCATGAACGAGTTGTAGACTTATAAATATGTAAGATATATTCTGGACAGAAATATTGTCTAGCATGGTACAATGAACCAAATTTCCTAGCAGCAGAACTAGAATTGATTCAATATAAACTTTCTACTTCATGTCAGCAGGAAACGATAGCAGGAGAAGGCGGGGTAAGCCAATCTTCCGAAGGTTAGCATCAGTCATAATGATTGAAGGTATAAGCAGGATACGCTCAGACGACTAAAAGAGAACAGTTTGGTTTTGTTAAAATTAACAAGCAATTCCTTGCCCCAGTTAACAAAATACACAGAAGCATACTCAGAAATGTGAAATGTCCGATAGTTTATCGAGCTAAGTTTAACAATCTGCGTGCCAGTGAGAGCGGTTCGGAGTGAATGAAGTGACACACGCGTACCAACGTTAAATGTCTTCAGTAATGTAAACCAGTGGATCGATCAGACAAAGGACTTTCAAATCTGTTCCTATTCGGTATAATCTTTTAACTTGCTATTATCTCGACAGTAAATCAGGTCAGTTCGATAAGATCAAATTGGCAGGTGATCTCAAAAAAAGACTTGTGATCTTTTGTTAACTTTGACAAAGGATGGCTTGTTAATTTTTACCTCTTTAAAACGAAATTAATCTCTATTAATCATCTGAGAGTGCATTTCTGCCTTCCATCAACACGGCTGATGCTAACCTCCAGGTGAGTGACATTTTGCGCCTTCTCGGCTGACATGAAATGGAAAGACTATATTGAATCCCTTGCTAGGTCTGCTGCTGAGAAAGTTGGTTCACTGTGTCGTGTTAGTCAATTTTTCTCCAGAATTTATCTAATATATCTAAGTCTATCATACGTCCATGCTTAGAATATTGCTGCCACATGTGGCCCGGTTTATCTACTGTTTATTTAACGATTATTGGTCTTGACCTGGCGTCTCGGAATCACTTACTTTCTCACCGCCGTACATTTGCCTCCCTATGCCTTTTCTATAAATACTTTCATGGTAATTGTTTGAATGAGCTCTTCGCTATGACGCCTAGATTAAATTAATTTTATTAGCAACAAGGTTTCATCAATTTACCGTTTGAATTGGCTAGGTAACCGTAAGTTCTATTCAACCAGTTTTTTGTTCCCATTTCTCACTTCCGGTTCCATGCTTTCCGGTCAAGTTTAATTTTCAAAAATTTAAATGTAATATAAATCATTATCTACTCTGTTCCTAATTACTCTTCTATTGTTCTTGCTGCTTCTTAACATTTTCTGTTTTCTAATTCTTTCACACCCAGTAACCCTTTGTGTCTTAGTGGATTTACTGTCTTGCTTGGGGTAAATTCGATTAAAAAATTTACACTACGATATTTTCAGAGTCATATGTGCTTCCCATGGGAACGTAGTCTCTGTTTCATTTTCCGAAAAATAGCGTTTTTAAAATCAGTTAGTCGTTCCGACACATATGCGTATTTTGATTGGCAATCGATTTTTTAGGAAATTTAAGGGAGAATCGCTGGAATGTTGAGGTCTTATGGGTTTCTCATTTTTGATGCTTCAATTGCTTTCTCTTCTGTGTCTGTGCGCTTATCGCTCATTAGATTTTATTAGCTTGCTTTAGAAAGGCTTAATTGTTTTTTAAACGTTGCCTGGCAAATTTGTTTTTGTAAGGAAGAAATAAAAACGGGACAGAATAAAAATCGAAGTAGGTGAAGAAAGTAAGATAGAGTGAATTGGAAAGAAAGGAATTTGCATAAGCAAAATGTGAAGAAAGAAACTTAAAAGAATGGAAGTGGAAGAATAAGAGAACAGAACACCGATCAAATTTAGAAGGAAGGAAGGAAGGAAGGAAGGAAGGAAGGAAGGAAGGAAGGAAGGAAGGAAGGAAGGAAGGAAGGAAGGAAGGAAGGAAGGAAGGAAGGAAGGAAGGAAGGAAGGAAGGAAGGAAGGAAGGAAGGAAGGAAAGGAAGGAAAGAGGAAGGAAGGAAGGAAAGGAAGGAAGGAAGGAAGGAAGGAAGGAAGGAAGGAGGAAGGAAAGAAGGGAAGGAAGGAAGGAAAAAGAAGGAAGGAAGGAAGGGAGGAAAGGAGGAAGGAAGGAAGGAATGAATGAATGAAGGAAGGAAGGAAGGAAGGAATGAATGAAGGAAGGAAGGAAGGAAGGAAGGAAGGAAGGAAGGAAGGAAGGAAGGAAGGAAGGAAGGAAGGAAGGAAGGAAATAAAAAGAAAGAAAGAAAAATGAAAAGTGCGAAAGCAAAAGAAGGAAGAAAAGAGAAAAACACAATGAGTACGAATGTATGAAAGAAAGAAAGAAAATTAAGAGAATGGAAGAGGGAGAATAATAGAATACAACACCGAGAACATTTAGAATGAATAAAGGAAGGATGTAAGGAAGGAAGGAAGGGAGGAAAGAAAGAAAGAAAGAAAGAAAGAAAGAAAGAAAAAAAATTAAAAGAATGGAAGTGGAAGAATAAGAGAATAATACACCGAGAACATTTAGAAGGAAGGAAGGAAGGAAGGAAGGAAGGAAGGAAGGAAGGAAGGAAAGAAAGAAAGAAAAAGAAAGAAAAAAAGAATGACAGAAAGATAAAAAGTGTGCTAGCAAGAGAAAGAATAATGGAAGTGGAAGAATTAAAGAGTAGGACATCGAGAACATTTCGAAAGAAAGAAGGAAGGAAGGATGAAAAGAAAGAAAGAAAAATGAATAGAGTGCAAGCAAGAGAATGAAGAAAAGAGAAAAAGATAATAAGTTCGAATGTATGAAAGAAAGAATAAGTAAAATAGAGTAAAAACAAAAAGGACAACATTGGCATAAAAAGCAAGAGAAGGAAAATAAAAAACAAATAAATAAGGACATTTAGAAAAGGAAAGAATAAAAATCAGAAAAAACAGGGAAGAAAGAAAGAAAGAAAGAAAGAAAGGTTAAAAAATTTGAAGAACGGAAAAAAGATAAAGACAAAATTGGAAAATATTAGAAAAAGGAAAGAAAAAGAAAGAAAGAACGTGAAAGAAAATCGGAAACAATTAAAATAAAGAACATTTGATGAAATAAGAAAGGATAATGCGGTCATCAAAGAAAGAAAGAAAGAAATAGGAAAGAAAGAAAGAAAGAAAGAAAGAAAGAAAGAAAGAAAGAAAGAAAGAAAGGAAGGAAGGAAGGAAGGAAGGGAGGGAGGGTGGAAGGAAGGAAGGGAGGGAGGGAGGGAGGAAAGAAAGAAAGAAAGAAAGAAAAGCATATTAACGATCAGGTTTGCATATTAGATCTAAGGTAGAAAAAGAAAGAAAAAGAAAAGAAAAGAAAAAAAAGAAAAAGAAAGAAAAAAGGAGGAAGGAAGGAAGGAAGGGAGGGAGGGAAGGAAGGAAGGGAGGGAGGGAGGAGGAAAAGAAAAGAAAGAAAGAAAGAAAAGCATATTAACGATCAGGTTTGCATATTAGATCTAAGGTAGAAAGAAAGAAAGAAAGAAAGAAAGAAAGAAAGAAAGAAAGGAAAGAAGGAAGGAATGAAGGAAGGAAGGGAGGGAGGGTGGAAGGAAGGAAGGAAGGAAGGGGGAGGAAAGAAAAGAAAGAAAAGCATATTAACGATCAGGTTTGCATATTAGATCTAAGGTAGAAAGAAAGAAAGAAAGAAAGAAAGAAAGAAAGAAAGAAAAAAAGAAAGAAAGAAAGAAAGAAAGAAATATTAAAAGCCATGTACGCATATAAACTGTCAGGTAGAAATAAATAAATATAGAAAAAACCGAAATAAATATTTATAGAAAGAAAGAAAGAAAGAAAGAAAGAAAGAAAGAAAGAAAAGCATATTAACGATCAGGTTTGCATATTAGATCTAAGGTAGAAAGAAAGAAAGAAAGAAAGAAAGAAAGAAAGAAAGAAAGGAAGGAAGGAAGGAAGGAAGGAAGGAAGAAAGAAAGAAAGGAAGGAAGGAATAAGCAAGAAAGTGAAATAAAATGAGGAAAAATAAAATAAAAATAAACAAAAAATACAGAAACAATTCAAAAGAACACTGGTCAGGAGGACATTTAAAGGAAGAAAGAAAACAAAAAAGAAAGAAAGAAAAAAGAATGAAAGTGATTAAAAACCGTGAGAAAGAAAGAAAAGTAAACAGAGTGAATTTGAAACAAAATAAACGAATGAGAAAATGCAGTAACATTTTTTAAAATAAGAGAAGGAAAATAAAGAATGTAATGAATCAGTAAATTAAAAAGTTAAAGAATGAGGAACTTAAAGATAGAAAGAATGACAGAAAAAATATGTAGAATAGTTAACAAAAAAGAGAAGGAAATTTCAAGAAAGACAATCGGGATAAATTAGAAAGAGAAAGAAAATGGCTGGAAAGAAAGAATGAATAAATAAAAAAAAAAAGAATTAATCCCGCATACAAATTAATGCTAGCTTAAAATATATAAAGATGAAAGGAAAGAGAAAAGAAGTGAAAATCCATGATTAAAAAAGAGAGAAAACAACAATTCATGGAAAATCTCTGAAAATAAATAATAACAATAACTCCTTCAAGAAAAAAAAAATTAAAGAAAACAAGATTTGAACCTAAAAAAGATGAACTATTGCAATGAAAATAGCGAAAAGAGACAAAGAGGAATTCTAATTGATTTTTCCTTGCATAATTTGTTTCGAGGAAGGGGAACTCAGAATATTCCAATGGATCCCATTTATTCCAAAGACTTCTGTCAGATTTCCTTTTAAACCCCCAATGACTAACAACGAACCCAACCCCAATTCGCGAATCTCTTTAAGCTTTCCAACCTTTCATCACCGTTTTTCGTCTTTTGCTATTACTTTTCGCCTATAGTCAATCAGCCGTCTATATTGGGATATTGATTATGAGGAATGCGTCTTCCTCGACTCCAAAGTAAGTTTTAATAAATCCTTGGAAGTTAGAGACTCTGCAGCACTGAAATATAATTTTCACGGAAAAATATGGAAACGCAAATGTGACATTCGCAGTGTGTGTGGTGGTTGGGGAAAGGAAGAAGGTATTCAGTTTTCCGGGGAGGTGAGTGTCGATTTCTAAAAAAGAATAAATAGAATTTGGAATAAATAAAAAAAAATAATATAACTAGATTTTGATCGTTGTGCACTCCGCCCGTCTTCAGGTATCTCTCGTCTTTCTTGCTAACCTTCTCTGATTTTTAAAACGGTCAATCGACAGGGTGTGGATTGTTTTTGTTTGTTCTGATAAATGATAAAAGAGGAGACACATGATGAGGATAAAGCGAATAGAAAACGATTGTTTCTATAACAGATTGGGAAGTAATATGGTTTGTCCTAGCTATAAACGTCTGTACGAGTGGAACTAAAGAATGAACATTTGCCATAGAAATAACGATAGAGAAAAGTGGTTTCAACTGAGAGAATAAAGCGACAGAGGAGATACAACCTCTCAGTTTATACGCACCTGTCTTATTCACCTTTTGTATCATCTGTATGTTTTTGACACTGAAATTAGTCCTGCGTATGACGATAAACTACATCTGGCAGCAAGACCTCTGATCGGGAGAATAGAGGTTTTGTGGAGCGTGGAACCACCTCTTAAATATTGTTGTTATCAGGCCCATCGTGACCTGTTGTGGTAGCACCTGTTACAAAACCACTCTGAAACTACAGAAATACATTTTTATAGTAAAAATACCAGAAATATATTTTTATATAAAAAGGAGCAACAATACCTATTTATAGCAAAATGACCAAATTACATTCTAAAGCAAATTAACCAGCAAGTCATTTAACATGCATTTGAAAGTATACAACTGCATTTAAAATATATTAAGTTCAAGTTATATAATTACGTTCAGCTTATTTAGATTTCGGCATTAAATAACCCATAGAGGTGTTGATATGCCGCTAAACAAAACCAATCAACACACTGAAATATTATATATGAAATTTCAGTCCTGCTTTGTATAGGAATTTATCTCACAATTTCCACTTATGCTTTTTCTAATATGCTTTCTCTTGATGTTTCTGCGTTTGGATGTGTAATGCTATGTGTTTAACGTTATACAGATGTGTTTAACGTTATACAGAAGTGAAGATTTATTGTTAAGTAATAGTTTCAGACCATTATTTTTTAGTGGCAGTACAAAAATTTAAAGAACACAAGCTTTGAACCTAGAGAAAAGGAACTATTGCAATGAAAATAGCGAAAAGAGACAAAGATTATGGTCAGATGGTAGACAAAATAGGGATGTAAATTTTGATTAGCTGAGCCGAACGCGGAAATGTTAGATTTAGAGAGTCATTTCAAGGAGTTAAGTTTTACACATCGAAGGATGCAGCCGTGTTAATTTTTTAATGTGAGGAAACTGCTCACCAGTGGGGTGAAATAGCAACCCCACGGACTAGTTAAAAATGTATACGTAAGTGTTTAATAAAATAGACAAGTTTCAAATTCCGATTGTTGATATCTTATTTCATCTCTGAACTCTAAAACATTACGACAACCGACCGGAAGAAGACGAGTGATAAAAGATACAATGTTATGGATTCGACTCCGTTAACCAACACCACCTTCTACATGCAAGAGTATACAACCTTTTGCTTATTTGGGTGCATTGGCCAAGACCTCACCAGAAGAGAGTGGTATGCAACAATCTCAATTTGGTGCGCAGTGACCAGCTCCCTCTAACAAGGAAGGACGCAAAAGATCTACAGTTGCAACACAACGTTGAAAAGTTCGGAGAGTATTTTCGGGTGGGGAGTCAAAGAATGTGGAGGGGGGGGAAATAGAAAAAATAAAAGAAAAAAAAGAAAAAAATATTTTAGAAAACTTGGACAGTCTGTAAGTACGATGGTACTATTTCGTTCTGCTGACAAACACACGCGCACATCTTCAACTTACCAAAATAGGAAGTAATGGTGAAAAAAAAAAAACGAGGCAAAAACAGAAAACAAGCAGGACAGAAAAATTGAGGACGAATGGGGTAGAAAAAAAATAGAAAGAAAGAAAGAAAGAAAGAAAGAAAGAATGAATACACACAGTTTGAAAAATAGACTGGTTTTTAATTTTTTTTGTTTTTTGTTTTGTTTGATTTTGACAAAAGTTTTAAGCAGTGTGGAAAAATGTATTCTTTTTTTATTGGCACATTTTCAATGTATTTTCTCTAAGGCCATGTTTGGCATGATTTCATGTTGTATATGCCGCTGTTATAATTTTTGTTTTGTCGTGGATAAATCTGGCCATCAAAGTTTCGCTGTTAAGAAATACGTTTTTTTCATGAAGACGTAAATTTGAGAAAATTTGGTATCTGGCCACGTGGAAGGCTGAATTTGCGTACATTAACGCAATGGAAATTTTTTTCGGGGGAAAGAAAGACTGATGGCTAATTGTGATGGGGCATTGCCACTGTGATTCATGTGGACTGTTAATGAGTTGAACATTTCTGTGATTATGGCTTTGCGTGCATTTAAATGTTTTAAGTTTAGAATTATTTTGTTAATTGTAATTAACTGACAAGTGATAGTTTTTTGATCATTTTTTTAACAGAGTGTGGAAATTCTTTTTATTATTTTAAGAGCCGTGTGTGTCTTTTACCTTCTTTGGTTGGTTAAGTTATTAATTGGTAAATTTTGAGAATTAGTTTTTGTGGAAAAAGTAATTTAGATAATTGTTGTGGGAATAAGTTGAATCGGTATGCATTGTTTCTTATTTCTGAATGTGTTTAGATCTGTGTCTTGGGGTGGAAATGGTCGCACCTAGCTATGTAGTTAAGCAACCGGTTATTTATGGGGTATTGAATGGGGGCCTATGCTCCATAAAGTATCTATATTGAATAAATATAACCCGGGGCCAAGATTTGCCGCACCCGGTGGTGTAGTGGTATTGATCAGGTGGTTTATGTG